TACGTTTAACTTTCCCTGCAAAAATAAAATTAACTGCCTTCAAGGCCAAAGCACAAAAAGTTTTGGAAGCACTGATGAAGCTGTTTGACCATAAATTTATATTTTTTTCTGTGTTTACATGAGAAAAATATTGTATTTGCTGTTTTTTGAAAGACAGAAATTACATATTAAGGGTTGAAAAGTGGTAAAAAAAAAAAAATTTTATCCTATTGATTGTCCGTATTTTGTCACGTTAAAAAAAAATCTAGTAAAATCACAGAAATAAATATTAATAAACATGTTGACTGTAAAAAGCAAACAAACAAAAATCAGCAAAGCTGAACACAATGTCCAACAAATTTGTATTTTTACTTTGATAGATGTTTGCTTTAATTTTCACAGTGTTTGTTGTTTGTTTTATGTTGTTTTCTTCCACCTTTGCTGCCACATGTTCAGTGTTTTTTTATGGGATGTTTTTTCTGTTCCTGAGCACAATGAATCCATATCTGTGGACATCCGTGGAGTGCATCTTTGGTTTATTTTTTCCGTCCCCGATGCATCGACCTGTCACTCACAGACCTCCACAGCCGTCATCTCGTCCCTCTACATGGATGTGGAAGTTCTATTTTTTTCTTGATGAAACCAGAGACTCGCCGCCTCGTTGGCTGAGCCGCCTCGGTTCTAAATCAGATCTGCGGCGGATATCTTTCCCTGGAGGGGCTGGATGCAATAAAGCCCCTCAGCTCCTTAGACATTTAATCAAGTGCTGGCAGGTTACGGGTCCCTGTAGGGGACGATCTGAGGCTCCGTGGGCGCCGACCTGCCAGAGCAGCAGGGCGGCTCGGCTAATGGGGAGTCCATGTTCCTGCAGGAATCTCTGCTGCGCTGCCACAGGTCCCTGTTTACGGCGACCTCGGGGTCAATCCCATCCTGCTGCAGGAAAACGGGACGTGGAATTGAAAGCGACCTCGACTGAGGTGGTCACCTGCGCTGCTAGTCGCTAGCCACTAGTCGATAGCTGCTAGTCGTTAGCCGCTGCTAATTTTGCACCATTAAGCCCAACAGAGCCATAACAGGGAACATACCTGCTGCTCGCCGACTTATTATTACCCCCAGCAAGCCCTCCACCCCATTTAGATCCATCTGAATATGTCACATGGCGATCTTGTTTTACGTCCACAAACATGCAGGTTATTAATATCAATGCGCCGCATTTAGACGCTTACACAAGAGGGGCGGCGACGGTTTTTATTTAATTTTGTTGTGATCATTTAAACTCCTGAACCCCGAAAAAAAAACTTGCAGGCAGATTCTAAAAGACGGACGAACTGAATCAGATATTCAGCTGCTTTTATAAAGCTTGAACATGAAGCCAAGAGGATATTTTTTGAGGTGATGATGGCACAGAGATGCCAAAAAAATAAAAAATGAAAATAAAATAAAAAAATAAATAAAATTTAAAAAATAAATAAAATATTGCCTACCCCAACTTTAAGCTAATATTAGATTGGCTGTGTTGGTTTAAATATATATTATCAGATTTTTTTTAAATTATTTTTTTACATTGAAACTAAAACCTTTTTCTTTACCATATATAATATACTGTAAAATATTTAAGCTGTATTTTTTATTTTTTTGGAAAAATGTATTGTTATTTTCTCTGTTTTGTTAAATGG